AAACAATTCTATGTTTGAGAGAAAAGTAGCTTTCTGGTTTGTTTTCTAGACTATTTTTGATGGTTGAAGTGCAGAGTATCACATAGTATTGCCATATCATTTTTTAGCACATTATCAAATTTCTACATTATGCTTTCTAAAGAATATTGCCAAATCATGCTTAAGCACAAGGTCAACCCCCAAAGTCCCATTCCAATTACTTTGTGCCTTAAGGAAATGGATAGGTACAACGTGTGTGTACAACTTGAGGGCTAACACAAAGCCACAAAAGACAGAAAAACACAACTACTGCCAGTTTAGAATAATTGGATGTCCTACGCCTCAACATGCATGTCAGAAGAATTTCGAGTACTCTGAGGAAACGCAGCTACAGGGAAGACTAGCTAACTAAAGCTAACCTATACCAACGTGCTGCTGCCCCAATTCATTTGTGAAATATTTGTAGTTAGCCTCAAGTTTCCAAACACTGTAACTCATATTTCACTATTTAGAATGAATTAATGAATAAGTTGAACTGAAACTCATTGTTAAATGAGAAATTTCCCCACTAAGACATTACAATACAGTTGCTGCCTTCACTGAGATCCTTTTCATAGCTTTTGTTTGAGCTTTATGGTGTTCTGGAGGATACAGCACTGTTGGCACTTTTAGCATTTCATTTCACAGTGAAAGGATTGTTTAATTAGGGTGGATGACTCCTCTTCATATTAGTTTCTTTCTTGCAAAAGTGTGACTCATGTGTCATTGTTATTAAGACAGAGATGAGACATCCTGGAGGATGTGCAAACAACAGTGTAATACATTTGTGTGTGTGTGTGTGTGTGTGTGTGTGTGTGTGTGTGTGTTGCAACACTTGGCTTTCCAGGACTATTTTGAGATTTACGTTTTGGAAGCACCGTGATATAACCGACCCGCCTTCTTCCAATAACTAATTTGCACATTGGCTGCAAAGTCGAGCTCTGATTGGCAGGAGGAACACGGGCACCAGTTTCTGTGGTATGGCTGCACATGCATGCAGTCTTACATTCAGCGTGCCTCACTTGAGATGAGATTGTATTTTTCATTTTTTTTCAAAAACAAACTTGAACGATTTGCTGCTGCACTGAAAGTGATCTAGCTTGTTTGGATCCTCTCGGTTGGCAGAGCATGCAGTTAAGTTGTCCCTACTTGTGTTTTAAGTAAGTGAGTGCATTGATCACATTAGGTGTCACTGTAATAATCAAGTCACTTGCATCAAATCACTCAGCAGAAAGATGCCAATCACCCGTGTGTATAGTTTGTACAGCTGTATCCAATGCAACTTAAGCAGTTCTGCGTCACGATTAATGCAACTAAACTTCGTTCACAGAATTTAAAATACTAAATAAATGGCGCCAAGATCCTCACCGGGCTGACAAAGTTGCTCAACCTGATTCAGTTTCTTTCAGGCTTGGCAGAAGAGCCAACCATTTTGCCAGCCAATCATGTTGCATGAATTCAAGCGTTGTGCTTAACCACACAGTACGATGCTCACAGCTGTTTGCATTTGTATTCATTTAAATACATCCAGCGTGTGATGTATTTAGTTTCTCTGTACCTTCTGTTCCAAAAAAAGGAATTAGAAGTCAGCAACTGACTTTTTTGATCAACTCTGTACCAACTCACCTGTTACTCCCAAACACTGCCTGTCTGGGCATGCTCAGTAAGTGTCAGAGTCTTTGCCGCACATTCCAAGGTTGGGCTTAGCGAATATGTTGGAAGCAGCACAGGGTCCCCGTGGCTGTTAAAGGTAACCTCGCTGCTCTTTGGGTGTGTGAACTTGTATTCATGTTTTTTCTGCTTTGTGCACACATACTGCTTCACTTCAGTGCTCTGAGGACAACCAGATGGCATAAAAGACTCTGCTTGGGAAGAAGGATATATGGTTTTCTGTCTTGACCTTTGCCCCTTTTAGTTCTTAGTATTCTCATTCAGTCATACAAATAGACAGTAGTTAAATGTCTCTCTTTGACATATTTGAAGGTAGAGTTTACATGTATGTACTCAAGTTTGAAGTTATGACCGGTTTAGGCAATTAAGCATAAAACAGACCATATTAGTCACGGTACAGAGGATAAAATGGTATCAGCATAGATGCTACATGCAAAGCTGTCCTTAACGGAACACAGACACCATTCAGCTGGCTTTGATAAGCGGAAACCACAAGTTAAAATGTTCACGCTGACACACCAAAGGCATATTTGAATGCACTAAAGTTCTTGTTGCTTTAGCCCTAACAATTCTTTTTTTGAATGAATGAATGTCTTTTATATATTCTTCTATAAAACAATTGGGTACTGTTTTGCATCACCTTAACAGGGTGATTTGCAAAGTGCCCTGCTAATCAGCTCCTTTAACAGGTGACATCATCACCAGCACATGTCATTGGTCAGCATTTTAAGCTCAGTATTATACTACTATGCTGCTGAGAGATGGACCTACAGCAGCTGGATGTTCTCACTGTGTCAGAGAGGCTAGTGATGTAACGTGTGCATGCATGAAACCAAAAGCTGGTCTGAACATGTTAAAGTGACTACACACCAGTCACTTTGACACATTTTACACACCAGTTCTGCTACCAAGATGGGATGTGGCAATTCACCCTTATAATTGAGCTATCACTATAAGAAATCAGCAGCTAGGCATGCTTTCAGGCACGTTGTCAGTTCATTCATTTGAAATCACAGAGTTCCAAAGTTAAACGGGACCCACACCATGTAATTATGTTCCTGATTTTCTGTCATACATCTGTACTTTTAACGATGGTGGAGGCTGATGCTAAACATGGAACTAAGGCACACTGTGGCATTGCCACCTAGCTGTTGTTTAAACCTTCAGTGTATGAGGGGCAGCCAATAAGATGAGGTTGAAATTTGGTGCCATCACTGACATCCGGTTAAACTGCATAAAACTAAAACCTCAGGACTTAAAGATTTATTTTAAAGACACACTTAAATGTGAGAGTTTGGGCTTTTCTGGAAAGGAAACCAAGCCAACATTTCAGTTAAGTGATAAAGGAATACAAAAAGAAATCTGTGATAAGGAAAAAAGGACAGGAAGTCAGGGTGTAGAAAAGTGAGGAAAGGGTCAATTCAATCTTTACTTCAAAAGAGTATGAGAATAAAAATACAGGGATGGAAATGAGCATGAAAGGTCCACTTTAAGGTGTCACATCATGCACTCAAATGTAGTGTGCAACCACAGTCTGGGTCCTCGAGTTTCAGGAAAGAACTGTCCCTGCCCCTACTCCACTGTAGTTATCCTCATAGAGAGTAAAATGTGGTAATGACTGAAAGTGGACCTGGTAGAAGACTACCCTGTGTAAATCCAGAATTTTATTTTTACTACACTAGTTAGAAGCAACTAAAAGCACTTTGATCTCATCACCATTGGTCTCAGTTTATAATTTTACATTATTTTTGCATCTCAATGATTTAAATGCAAATCAAGATATTTCCTGATAATTCAAATTATTATTTCATCCCCAAATTGGTTTAGTTTTGTTGCTGTTTGACCTGCAGAAAGCTGTCCATGCTGCAGGGAATCACAGTCATATAGTCAAAGCCTGCTTCAAGCTTCCCGCTAGAGAACCATCAATCGTGGCCAACTCTCCACACCCACAGCCTCCAAAACCAGTCAACCATCCTCTGCTCTGATCCACAGACCACAGACTAATTAACTGAACAAGAACAGACCTACAATGGGAAAATTCAGAGAACAATAAATCCAGGTTTATAACTAAAGTAGAAGTTAAAGTAGAAGAGCATGGCGCTTCTCTGCATGCAATGTAGTTCAAAATAGAGGCATAATGGATTACATGGCACTGTTACCGTACATCATGCTGTGCCAACATGCAAAATGAACAAACGCAAGGCCTCCTGCATTCACTGCTGCTGGCCTCAAGAGTTTAAAATGGCAGGTTAGGACCTATTCAGTCATGGTTGTGAAGTCTGCAGCTGATGGTATGTTTCAGCGAGTGTTTACTGTACTGTGGGTTTGGCTGGTTCCACGGGTCTGCACCATATGGGGAAATCCTACTCATGCATGTCAGTGGAAGCAGCAGCAGCAGCAGCACTTTGACTCAAAGAAAGAAAGGAAATGTTGGAAAACCTCTTTATTCTGAAGCCAGGTGGTCTGAAGATGAAGTCTCAGATCCTCTTTGACTTGTCGAATAAATAAAAAGAGAGACACATTTGTCAAGATGAAGGCCTGGGAACTCAACTCCTGGCTTCTGCTACAGTCCCGTCAACCAGAGCATGGTGAGAAAGGCAGGGAGGGGAAATGCCTTAAATAAAAAGAGCGTGGTAAGTGCTGCCACATGTGCTATTTATACACAGTACACATACACACAGAGCAAAGAAACTCTAATCTACTCCTTGATCTAGCTTGGTTCAGACACATGGTGAATGTGTAGCGGTTTACTGGCCTGGCAGATTGTCCAGAAATATTTCTTCTTTCTCTTGGCACCAGCAGGACATTTCTCTTTAAAAGGGCAACAAACTGGGAATGCAGCAAATTTACTTTTCAAGAAAATCACACTGGTGATGTGGTCCCAGTGCATGCCTTTAAATATTAAGAATAATACTTAAGGGGGCAAAAAACCTGCCATCTATTCTTTAACTTCATCTGGTACGCATTTGTTTAGCTGCTCATCCTGAATGGGGTGCATTCTCATTACTGTTAGCAAGCTAAGAGGAGTTGACCAGAACGTCAGGGGTGCATTAGCTCATCCAGTTCATGATCTATTGCAGTTCATGTGCAGTTTAATTCCCTGTAATGTGTGAAGAACAGAAAGAATGTTACAGGTTTTGTTGCCATCAGTTGGCTTTACAAACAAATTCAAATAGTTTGAAATTAGAATCACTGAGAAGTCAAGGCCCAGAACAAATGAATGTAATTTTACTAAAACCTTACCATTGCTCTTGAGGAGTGGTGGCTTTTGTGAATTGTGGAAGGACAGACTGATGACAGATGCCTCACATTCGCATGAGCTCATTGAATGATCTAAAAATAACGACATCATGACATATTTCAGATTTCTTGCTTTGAGGTAGGGCAGATAAGACTGTGTGTAGGATGTACTGAAATATCTAATGATCTGTGATACAGTAACATTAGGGACTGTATTGAGATGCAGCTTCTCCAATGTCCCAGTGAGGGAGCCATTTTATTATTGGTTTCTACCAATATTGTGACAACGCGTCTCATATAAGTGAACACTGGGGCAAGTTTTTAAACATAATTAACGAGGTACATTTTGCATTTACCACCTACAGAATTTAGGTAAAACTTTCACCAGCAGGGGCAGCATTTCACACATGGGTGGGTTGAGATGTTCTCAGCTGTGTGCTGCTATTTAACTGCCATTTCTTTGAGCTACCCCCATTTCCTCAAGGGGCTTGGTCTTTGGCCAGGGCATAGTTGTAGATAGCAATATGCTGGTTAAATAAAGGTTACCTTGACTCACTACACCATCTGGTGGTACAGATCAGTATTACACAAAAGTACAGCCCGGTTCAACCACAGCTAATATCTCTTCGACACAATACATAAACACTTTTGGCAAAGTTAAAGCAATCGTAGCTTTGTCAGTCATTCTTTTGGTAGTTTGTTACTCTGGATTTAAACAAAACACACATGTACCTTAAAAAAAAAAGAAGAAAAAAAAAGCCCAAGGCAGCGGGTATGATGTCACCCGGTTGATCACTGAGTAACCACAAGTTGTGTGTCTTATACTTTTGAAGAGTTGCTCTAAGCTGAACTAGGGGACAGTTAAATATCAGGTGCAGCATAATAAACACCTGTGCGCGCTTATCTAACCATCACCCAGAAGGGAATGCAGCTTTATCTTTCAACAGCATGCTGGCTGTAGAAGAAAAACTGAAATGTGAAAGAAAAAAAGGACCCTACTTCATCTCTGGATCATGAACGCCATTTGTTGTTAATTACCTTCATTTAACCGTGATGTGAAAATGTTTGACATTAAAAATTACTGCTACGAGCATGGCCTGGGATCAGATGAGCAGAATGACCCTAGTCTGTTTTTAACAATGGGAAAAACTGGAGCTCGTGGGGGAAAAACCCACACATGTACATGAAGTCCACACAGAAGGGCCCTACATTTCAACCCTGGGCCCTCTCAATGGCTATTCACTGAGCTTTAAAAGGCCAAGTGGCTAGTTATTATCGCTACATTAACATTTTATGGGTATGATTACAGTTGCTGTATAAAATCTAGCAGTCTCTTTTACTAATTTAGGGTGATCTATTTGAAAAATATCCATTTTGCTCTATCACATCATATTTTTTGCAATTGTAAACATGATCCAGATATTTTTTGCTTTATCTGTGAATGCTTTTTCACATCTAAACAACAACAAAACTTTACTGATTTTCTGAGAAAGGAATATTTGTATTATTTTGGTATGAAATTGTGACAAGACAAGCGACGGGCACATCATTGAGTTAGTCGGGCGAGTGTTGAAAACTTCCAAGCATCAACTATGGAAAAAGAGGAGCTTGGGTTTCAGAGGGAGTCACTGAATCACTATGATGACTGCTACTTCTGTTTAGTCAATATTTCTGGATACAGTTACAAAACTAAATCATCTATCAGTTGCTCTAACTTGAGACCTGTGCTGCATTCAGATGAAATAACACCTCCCATATTTACCAGCTTAGTCTGACTGACTTTGAAGATCAGTATTCTAGCAGCCCATCTCCCTCCCAAAGTTATTCGCTCAGCAGCTGGAAGCGACTGAGATGCTGGAGTCAAGGCCATCCAAATGGTCTTTTTATGGACACCGTGCAAGGATTTTATTCTGTTCTTATAAATGAATGACGACACCGTTATGTTGATGTTGAAGGTCTTTTGAGGTCAGTGGGTTGTGAGTGTAACGAAGGCGAGTGGAGGCTGTTCAATTATAGCTGAAACGCCAGCCTAACATGTGCCCTACTGCTCAATGGCAATTACTTTACATCCGAGGTTATTCTGTCCAGTTAAAATAAACCTTTTGTTTATCATTGAATCAACCACTTTCTTGAAAACAGCAGAAATTGTATTTTTCCACATGGCGACAGTTATCACCTGTCTGGTAAACCATAAAACAGCGTTTCATTGCATTTCACATCCTAATGACGGCTTACCACCTGTCAGCATCGCAGCCATCTTAACTTAGTGCCACCATTGTGCTTCTAGCTTCAGTGCCCAATGACTTCTCATTAAAACGTGCCAAAACAAACCAGGGACCCCGGCCCTCAGCTTTTCATCAGAATTTGTTCGCTGAATGCTTCCTGTCTGGCTCTGCCCCTCCCCCTCCTCACTCCTTCTTGGTAACTTCCTGTCTTTGTCAACCTCGTCTGAGTCAGCCACGGAAGAAACACTCACATGGGGATGGTGGGCCTTGTGCACTGTAGACTTCACAGACAGCAGTTCACTACTCAGGAATGCTCGGGCTAACAAACCATTCATCCATTTGTAGAACAGGACACTTCGCTACTTCGGTTACCTCATTACTGACACTTCAAGACAAGTCAGCGTCACGGAAACAGTAGGAATAAACACTGAGAAAGATGTTTTGACAGGCTCGAGTACACAGACAGGTCTTGACAATGTTACACAGTAATACAGTTAAGACGTCACCTGATTTTTAATATATTAATGGTTGTAATGGCTGAGTTGGCACAACCTGCAATCATAAACATTATTGGTATAAATTCTACTGGCACAAAGGTCAGCATGTAAACATGAGGAAATTCTTGTATTTTTTTCCTACCAGCTGATCTTTCTCTTAAGCTGAACACTGGTGTCAGCAAACAACATGGCCTTTAATGTACACCACCAAGTTTGTGCAGACTTAACAATGAATGTGATGAAACCTGATAGACTTTAAAATCCAATATATATTTTTTATAACGTTTTTTAGTTTCTTTGTTTCAAAAGGTGAAAAAACTTAAATATCAACACAGATATTTAGATATTTTATACAGTTAGTATGTGCATAGTTTTTAAAAAGTCATGGAGCATTTAGGGTTGATCATTTTATTAGAAAATTCTATATAACTGCAGTATATCTATTTCAAATAATGTGATAAATACTAGCTGATTTTGTCATAAATAATAGTACCAGACTTTGATCATGTTTAAATATTTAAAACTAAAACATAAAAAAGAACAAATTATACTTTTTTAAATGTATTTTTTTCCAATCTTGGCTCAATCAAGTAAAAGTGTTTACATGTTCCGAGTGAGGAAGCACAACCTTGCAGGAATGGGGTCAGCTTAACCCACCACACCTTGGCCCTTGGCTCCACTGATGATGCAGAAGCAGCAGACAGCAGGCTTTGGATATTCTGGAAATAAAAGTTGTGCTTGGGCTAAAGGCCACATTGATTTTCTGCACCATGTTGTAGTACAAAGTGGTGTTGCTTGAAAGCAGAGCCAAGCTGTAGCACAACTTTAGCCGAGATCTTGTCAACATAGGTGTTTTTGAGAAAGTAACAGCAGTTGGTTCTTCACATTCTGTTTTAATGAAACATTCTGTGACATTTTGAATGTATTTTTAAAGACAGAAATGTACAATATGTAATTTTAATGAAAGCCTAGTTGGAAAAACAAACAAACTGTAAATCACTTCCTTAATTACAAAGGACTGCTTCTTTCTTGTTGGCAACAGAGAAAACACAACTGAAACATTGGTCACTTTTATTGAAAGGGAGAACTGCTCTGAATAACAAGCTGCTAATTACAGGGATGTTTTATTCCACACACCTGTTTATACTATTGTGTGGGATTCATGACTTTCCGCACTCAGTCCTTTTATGCTCCTTGACAATAAGTGAGAGAAGCCGCGCTTGACTTCAGCTCCGGGTGTATTTTCATCACACCAGCTACAAGATAAGAACAAACTTCCTAAAAAATGCACGCATGTGGCCGAGTGCTTTCTGAGCCGTTTCTATTGTCCTGTCAACTGCGAGGGGTAGTAACTATAGCAACCATATGAATCTGTCCTTCAACAAACCAGCTACTTCCTGTTTTGAGAGATGACACACTCCAGGAACCGTGACTGAATATACCGCTGACCAAAATTAGGCTCCCAGACTGTCCCACAGAGTGACTCAGATGTGATGGAAACAGTTTTTGTTGGTGTTGCAGAAACTGTTGCGATAAAGCAGCACCACACCCTTTATTCTGCACTACAAAGACATCATCCAGCACCCAATTACTAAGACACTTTTCAGTCTGCTGAGTATTCTCATGAATAGAGAAAGGATGATGTCTTGTTTCTCAACTTTTGCCCATTTCTTCCCTGCCCCCGACAGGTCTGCCGGAGAACTGCACTGTTAAGACGCCGGCATTCACCGACGCTGTGAGACTCCACAGACAAGCCCGAGGACAATACGGGACCTGGGATATGATGTGTGGAACACCACCACAGGTTAATCACAAATAAATCGCAATACCATACACATTTCCACAGCACCTACAATGAGTTATAGATATTTTATATACTTTGTGACAGTAAATAGCGTGAGCAGATAGACTAAAGGCCTTGTTCTGCTCTGGAGAGTCACTTTGAACTGCGGTACCACTCTGACCAGAACCTTCAACACACAGAACTGGTTAATGTGCTGGGAAACAGAACAAGGACTATTGGCAGTCCAAGAAGCCTATAAGACTGTTTATGGAGAGGATGTGGAAGACTGGCACAAAAGTAACTAGCAGTAGGGAAAATATGTAGGCCTGAGGCTAACTGCTTAATCACTAGTAAGTGGATCGTGGGGATCCTTCTCTTAAATAGATTAAAAATGCTGAATGAGTCACAAAATGCAGTCGGGCAGCAGTCAATATACCTGGCTGACTTATCCAAGTCAGACATTATCCCACAGTTTTATTTGGCCCCCAAAAATCCGGTGTTTCGATGAGGGGGGTTTATTTTTTAAATCATTTCTGTTAAAATGGCTTTTGTCAAGTCAGGCAACACAGAAACTAACTGCTGAAAATGCTGACCTGTAATCATAAACTTTTTGTGCACTACATAATGCCACAACCTGGGTATCTAAACCCTTTACCAGTGGCTGACGTTGCTTGTGGATGTCAAATTAACATAAATACATGTGAAAAAAAACTCCAGAATGAATGATAAGCACCTCATTTCAGGAAGTTTAACTCTGCTCGCAGATTCTGTCAGGGAACAGTTTTCCGGGGCCACACCTTAATTTCTTTCTGTGCCGCTGCTCTGACACCAACTCAAAATATCAAGACTGCTGCAGGTTATGGTTAAAAGACATTTTCAGGAGCAATTCATCTTTCTCTGCGAGTAGCTCAGAGTGCAGGTCAGGGCTATAGGTGAAGCTGTTGAGAGGCCACGATGACAAATGAAACACACACCCTCTCCTCACATCAGAGAGCAAGAATGCACCTACACAAATCCTTCAAAGAGGCCAAAAACACCTCAACCCACATACCAGCAATTACAAGGACCTAGTCTCAGTCTTTGCCAGAGCCGAGTACAGCCCTGTGTTTATGGCAGCCACCTTTTAGCTATAAACACTTTCAGTCTGAATGTCAGTTTAATATTTAGTTTTCCTGAACATTACAGTGTTTACTCCATGCCACATGGACACTGAATAGAAATGTGACATAGATGTAGGTTGGGCTTTTCTACTGTTAAGGGGCCAAATGTTCCTTTTATTTCAGTCTAACAGAGACGCTGGCATTAAGGCTCATGCACGTAATGCTACAAATACTTTGGATAAACATCTAGAGGGAATTAAGAGAGAAATACAGCCAGTTTATGCAACCACTTTTATCCTTTGCTACAAAAACCAACTAAAATAATTCTGAAAAAAACCTTTTGCAGAGTCAGTGCCTCCAGGTAAAATTTCCTCGTTGTTCCATTATGTAAAGTTCAATGTTTTCAGGCCCAATTTCCAAGTAGAGATGGAGCACCATGGGTAATACAAAGGAATCCTTTGTATGGGTTCAAATGTTTTCTTAATTGAAACAGATGGCAGGGTTATGTCTCCAGGGTATTTATTGAGATGTAGTCAATCATTTTTCTGATTCCCATTATATAGCTTGGCTTTTTACATTTATTATAAGGGAAAATATGAAGCAAACACTCACCAGTACCTCTGTGGTTAAGATTAACCTTCCACTAATAAAAGCCATGCACCGTGATGCTAAATGGGCTGTTTGAATTTTCTAAAGCAACTTAAAAACATTAACTTCTACTTAAGACCAGTGTTGTCACTGAGCCAGTAGGAAATGTCCGGGGGGGGGGTGACAAAATCTGCCCCAACACCCATTATATTCAAACAATCCAAGTAGCTGTGTGAAAACAACAAGCAGTGAATGCAGCACACAGGTAGCTGGAAGCAGCATTAACAGAGAACCATCAACAAGCCATAAAGCATGAAACAGGCTCACTGGGGAAATATAAGTTGACCATAACTGAGCCATTGTCATAGTTATTAGTGGTGTGTGCTGTTAGCTTTATGGTTTACTTGCAGGCCTACAAACGCAAACAGAGGCAATGAATACAGTTTGCAAGCAAACATTTACTGACCTTGTTGAACTCATGGAGGCACAGAGAGCCTAAAAATCCCCTCCAGGTCTCGTTCAAACTTCACTGGTGATACAGCCAGAACATCAAACTCGTTCTCCCACAGAACAGGCCTCCAGCAGTATACTCATATTGCTGGTGGACTAACTCCTCAATGAAATGCTACGTTAGCAACAGCAGATTAGCATGAAGGATCAAATCAGAGGGGCAGGGCTTTAGTGGTTTAAATTCAAGGCCTTTCACAAAAGGGCCAGAGTTCCCATGGTAACTAATTGCAGGTATATGTCTAGGCTAGCTATGAGGGTTTTTATTTGTACTGTATTTCAAATATTTCTCTGGCAGTGTGCTAGTGCTAGTTTTTGGCAGTATCCCTTTAAAAATATCCAATTTTAACTTACTACAGTAAATATAGAGACAAACATGGAATAACACCCCAAATAGCATCAAATGTTTGGTCTAAATGTAGCTTTAGACCAAAATTTTGACTCTGACTGCCTCATCTCACTCTGGTTTATGAAATTCGGGCTACATCTGATCTGGTGTCGCATTTTATATGTGACTGCATTTGTATCCCACATTTTAACCAAAGACGCAGACAGAACAGCAGTTGAAATAACAGTTAACAGTTTGAACCGTTATTGCGACAGAAAAAGCAAAGACCTTTACTTTCCATTAATGCTTGCTGTAGGATAACTTCTTTCATTTTAATCTTGATATCAGTGAGCCTGTTTGAGGTTGAATAGGGTCGGCTTTTATGGCCATTTAAAGTCAAGTTATACAGTGAAGGATAACATATCAGCAATCAGTAGAGCAAATATACTACAGAAAGAAAACGCTGCTGGATTTCAGGCTACAACATATCTGTTATTTGTAAAGCCCGCTGCGTGGAAAATCTATGCTGCTTTTGTCTGGCTGTTCATTACCCAGCAACATAGCCATCACCAAATATTTAGTTTAGCTTAGTTAAAGCATCATGGAGGATCTGAGCTTCGTGAGTGTTTGTCAGTTGTGAGGGCAGTGCCAGTAAAAGCAGCCTTCCTGCCTCCCAGTGTCCCACTGTGTTCATGTAGCCATACAGGAAAGAGGAGCTTATTTTTAGGCTCTATTTTTTTGTTTTTCTTTAGCTGGTTGGCATATAGTAACTATATCATCCTGCTGGCTGTGGACAGGCAGATGATTTCATAATTCATAGTATGAAATTTTTGCAAGTCAATCTAATTATAAATCTAAAAGCGTTTATTCCACGTGTTGTGTGTGCGCAGATTTTGGCTAATCTGGTGATGGAGACCCTTCACCCTGACATAAGAAACATGATCGTCCCTCGCCTGAAGGGGAAGATGCAGCAGAGGCAGAAGAACTGGATGCTGGTGAGTTTCTGTCAATCTGTACAGTAAACTTGTAAAAAAACACACAAGTCAACCAGTGCAATCCATTTATGCTCTTGAACTCCTCCAGATATCGGATGCCGTGTACAAGCAGGTGTTGACTCAGACCACCGGGCAGTACGAAGCTCTGGTTGAAGCCTGCGAGGCCCAGAGAGGCCCACTAGACGCCAGGCTGCGAACCGATATGGACCAGATCATCACGTCTAAAGAACATGTCAGCAGCAAGATCCGAGGTATCAGCAGGAAGATATTCCAGTTTCAGCTGCCACAGACATAAAAAGTACCCCAGCTAGATTTCCGTACACTGCCTCAGTTTACATCCTCACTCGTGTGTATGCAGGATGCTGTTGAAAATGGTTCACTCGGTACTCGCTGTGACTTGACACGTAACCCCCTCGATCACAGATGTGTGCTCTATTGTTCGCCCACTATTTGACTCAGTGACATGTAGCTGTGGATTCTCTGAATCAGCGGTTTTGGCAGAGAGGAGTGATTAGTCTGATCACCGCATGCTCAAAATTCTGAAAACCCCTTTTGGACATTTAGTAACAGGTCCTGTAACTCTGTAACTAAACCTCCCTCCTTAGCAGGCATTTTCCACTTCTTCTGGCGTTTGCACGTTGTTGTCACAGCTTGTTTTGCCCACTGTAACTTACATATTGCTTGGCGTGCTGAGCTCTAAAGCAGCAGAGTACCCGGTCTTTGGCGCAGGCTGGTTGTTTCCTTCGTGTGTACCATTTCCCACTGAGCTCCCACTGAGTGGAGGAACTGCATTCCTTCACCAGCACTGCAAAGGCCATTTCTGACTTTGTAAATCAACTGAGCAAAATAACAAAGGGTTATGTAAGGGATGTGAGGCTTATGCATGGCTTCATCAGGTGTAACTGTAGCTATGATCTATTTTTATATTTATATTTTTTAGCATCTGCAGTTGCATTGCGTTACATTGGGTAGAAAACCATAAAAACAAAAGGTGTGGCCCTTCCGTGGAAGCAGCATTAGTGTGTTTACTTAAATGTCACCACATGCATACCAACCATTTCAACGACCAAATAATATCTCTGATATTGTTGTGACTATCTAGCACAGCTCATTTGAAGTCTGTGCCACACCTTTGTTTTTCTTGTCATCAGCATGCGTCGCTTGTTTACAAGCTTCAGTAACTAACTACTTTTTACCCCTTCTTCCATCCTTCTATTGCTTCTGTTGTGCAGCTCTAGTGCTGCCAAAAGCAGAGCAGATCCTGCGGACCAACATCCAGCCCTACATCAACTCCATTTTGGAGGCGCTGATGGACCCCACCAGCCGAGGTTTTGCCGAGGTCAGGGATGTTTTCTTCAGGGAGATGGTGGAGATAAGCAAGAACTCACTCAACGGAGGGGGCAAAGAAAAAATGGGAGAGGTTAGTGTCTGAAAAGGCATGTCCAACCTGCATTATCCTAAATCAGAAGTCAGCCAAGTTGTTGTTAACTTTCCCTCTCCTTGGGTCAGTTGCACTCACCACATTGCTCTTCTCTTTCTTTCTTTCAGAACATGGAAAGGCTGTCAATGCTTGCCTTCCATCCAGTGAAAATGCAGAGCTGCTACGAGAAGGTGGAAGAGCTCAACCTGGAGGGACTGCAGCAGAGGTTCGACGTCTCCAGTCCATCTGTGTTCATCAGCAGGGCTCAGATCCTTATGAGGGAGGTAAGATGCAACAACCCTCCTCTGTAATATGATGGGAAATATTAGTTTTAATTACACACTCCTGTCAGGCTCTCTGACAACACTCCCTGCTCCTCAGTAAGCTATAATACAGCAGCATCCACACTACCTCTGCTGAATTGTCTACCGCCACCTGCTGGCCAAAAAAAGAATATGCAATTTGAATCTGAGTTGTGGCACACCTAACCTTTTTATAATGATTTCATTTTGACAGCAAATGGACAATGCAGTGTACACATTTGAACAGCTGCTTAACCAGTCGTTAGAGGCCCAGGGAGACAGTGACATGTGCAAGCTCACCCAGAGATGCCAGGACAGAGTTCTCAAGGTAAAACACGAACACATGGAAAGATCAAAAGAGGAGACGGTCAAATACACATATATATATATATTTTAAAATGATTCTTATATTGCTCACAGTTTTCAGATTAGATAGTCCAGGAAAAACCTGTTTGTGTTAATGATGTTTGAGTCGATCAAAGTTCAAATGAACTCAAAGCAGGTTAATTTGATGACTGTCTAAAGAGGAGAGGATTTTACAGCAGCACAGAATAAGTGTTGAAAGGTCTGAATCGCTAAAGGTAATTCATGTCCCTAAGCTATGTTTGTGTTTCTGGTTTTTCCTGTCAGAAATATGACTATGACAGCAGCACGGTGCGCAAGAAGTTCTTCAGGGAGGCTCTGCTGCAGATCATCATCCCCTACATGCTGCAGCAGCTCGCGCCATCCTGCTCACCTGTGAGTAACACTTGAAATAAAAGTGAATGAACTGTCTTACAAACTTTTCCTTACATATAATTACATATAATTTATGGGATTTGAAGGATAAAAACTGTAAATAATAAAACACAAGATGCCATACAATATATGAGTGGGTTGCAAAAGTAGAACATTTAGTACCTATGAATCACCAAAGCAGCAAATGTACATTTGAGGGGGAAAAAAAAGGCATAAATATTGACTCAGAGGGAAAAAAACAAAAAGAAAAAAACCTGTTGTCATCCTGTTTCCCCATCCTATTTACTTCATCAATATGATGCTTGTGTCTAATCCAGAACCAGTCCCATGACTATCAAAAGAAATTCAGTGATTAATCCGTCCTGATTTTTGTCTCACAATAGCGTTCAGTTTCCAAACTAGAAGACAAGTTCTCATAAATCACTTAAAGAACAGGTTTTGAACTGGCACCAGAACTAGCGACAATCACTGAATCACGTCGGTGGAAAAAGAGGTAGCGTAGTTAAATGGCTGCACAGTAGCCAGACGTGTTTCTAAAAGGAACTTTTGCCATGAGTAATGCTTGAAGCTTTTTTGTGAACTGAGCAGTTTTCAATCATATTTCAGCCCTGACCAGAGAACAAAAGGACTGTCTACTAGAAGTTAGAGAGGGGGATCTCCTCTTCTGCAAACATTTGGACTATCCCAAAAACTGCTGCAATGGTCATCAAAAGATGTCTTTAGTGATAAAATACTGACTCGTCATTAAGGATACAGGGAGCACATAAATGTCGTCTTTATGAGGGGGAAAAAAAAAAGAGTTGAGGATGCATTTAAAGAGCATTTTTGAGAGTTATGATTTCAGCCTCACCTGCTGACCAACTAAAAGGATTGGTGCTAGAAACGACATCCTGGTCTTATTTGAATTCTGTTTCCTTAGGAGCTGCCTCGTTTCAAGGAGCTAATCTTTGAGGACTTCTCGCGTTTTCTGTTGATAGAAAATATGTTTGAGGAAGTGGTGCTGCAGTCTGTCTCCAAAGACATAATGATGGGTAAGGGCCAGGATCAAGATTTAGAAACAGTTTTCATGATGATGGCATCAATGGATAGCTGCAGTAATAACATGCCTTACCTTTTTCCCCCCGTGTCCAGCTGTAAAGGAAGCAGCTGTGCAGAGGAGGCATAACCTCTACAGGGACAGCATCATTCTGACCAACAGCGACCCCAACCTGCACCTGCTTGGGGAAAACCCCCAGGTGGACTGGGCCACCAAATTTGGCGGTGATGAGCCGGAGGGCTCTGTCAGCAGTGCAGATGAAGGAAGGGGTTTTGGGAGAAGACGCAAGCAGGTGGTGTCAATGATACAGCTGGACGGGGTGCCTCTGCCCTATGAGTCCTGCTTGGAGGTCCCAGGGGTGGAGCTGATCCCTGAGGAGGATGCTGAGAGCAAAGAGGAGGAGAATGAGGAGGACCAGTTGGGAAAAGCAGAGGACCTCAGCCCCAAGTCTCCTGATAGCGTGAATGAAATCAGGGACTTGATTAATCCGGTGGTTGAGGTGGCGGTGCCAGTGTCCAAGGAGCAGAGTGAAGTCACCAACAAAACAGACGCGACCACTGGCAGCATCAGCGTGGAGGATGGGGTCAAGGAGAGCGTGACTCACGTCACCACTGTGGTGGAGACTGTTCCAAAGGGGTCTCTGGGAGAGAAGACGTCCCCACAAGCAATCCTCCAGCAGCTGGTAGCGAGCAAGAAGCAGGAAGTTGATAAGGAGGAAGCAGCCATCCAGAACGCCATCGAGGAGCTAGAGATAGCAGTGCAGGAAGATGATGAAAGTGAACAGATTACAGAGATCTCTGCAGCCGAATCAGATAATGAGTCCTCCCCACCACTGGTTACAGACTCCGGCTCACGTGAGGACAGCGGCTTCCAGTCACCCACCAGCGAGGGACCAGTTGACAGCGAGCCTCAGCCAATCACAAATGGTCTGAATGGAGAGGAAAAGATAGTCGACCCTGTAGAAGTGGAGGTTGTTTTATCATAAGAAGACATTCCACGAATAAACTGGAGAAACCTGCAGAGACGAATGGCAGCATGCATAAATATTGAGAAGCTGAATGAATATGGATTGTATTTAAGGGGTTAAAAATGCCTTTTCTTTGTTGCTGTTGATATTGCACACTCCAGAACCCAGTCCTCCAGTTTTTTGACACGTATATTTGGTGATTGGTGAGTGTAGACTTTCTTCATATTCCGCATGTGTCAGTAAAGTCATATCCAATCCAAGTTTTGTTTTTTTGTTTTTTGTAATAGCAGGAAATAATTTGAATATCTGTAACATTAAATGCTCTTGTAATTACAACTTTACTACAGGTAATCGGAGCCTTGCCTAATGTTCTTAGCCTCTATCTGGTCAGCAGGGGGTGCTACAGCAATACTTTCTTCTTCATCCTGATCTGTATTTATCTATTTTGTAAAATGTTACTTTACAAGCATGCAATTTGTTTACTTTATGGCCTTTATGTTTCAATGCATTTCAGTACAAACAGGCAGGGAATGTTAAATACATCTACAGTAACTTTAAAACAATGGATTTGTTTTTATTTTTAAACATTTTAAAAAATAAAGCTTCTTGAAGAACCATCAACAGCTCTGGAGGAAGCCCGCTTGATTATTAGAAGGAAAACTTGGCTTTAGTGATTCTAGATTATCACTTGCATCAAATATCACATCTTTTATTCAAAATCCTCCATCTAACATCATACACACTGCTGTAGTGATCTCAAGCTGTAAATTTAGCTTGTGTTTTATGTGACAACAGATAATAGGTTTTAATTCCAGTCTGTTTGGCAACCCTACAGATAACCGTTTATTTTAGGGGGGTATAATTTGTTTATAGTTTCTATGAGTGGTTTTATGAAAAGAACTTGTTAATTTGGTACTAAAGGGGGGAAATTGAAGCTCTGTATGTGCACAACAGTATGAATGTTGTTGAATTTAATGTTTTTGCCTGATTCTGCCCTGATCAGACCTGCTATGTACTAACTGAAAGACTCAAGGTTAGACCTGCGTGCGATTTACATTTTAACACCCAATAATATATATTTTTTAATTCATAAGAGCAACAGAACTTACACATTGTCAATCATTACTTTTCGAAAAGACAACACCTTCTGTCTTTAGACCATAGATTCCCTTTGAAAAAAAAAAAAAAAAAAAAAAAAAAAGGAAATCAGGGTAGAAGGAGGCAAAAGCAATGAGAAAAATGGGTTTTTAACTATGGTAAGAAATGATTAGACATTGGGTTGATAGTCCATGTATTACAGAGTGTCCATATTTAGCCCTTTTCTGTGTGTGAGACACTGACCAAGTCGTATTTTTCCATTAAATCCTGAGCAGTTAATTTAATATTAATGTAACCATTTTATCTAGTCAGGACCCAGATTCATTATTTCCAATTGAGCGCTACCTTGTTTTTATTTATTATAAAACCTGTGTGGATTATAACATTCAGGTGTAAACAGTTTTTTCCCTGTTTGTTGTACTTACGTTTACTTAAAATATGTATCGAAATGGATGAATAAAAAAAACAAACAAAGCACAAAACACTTTATCGGCTTCATTCTTTATCTCTTTATTCTTTTTTTCAAAGACAAAAAAAGAAGCCATCACCAGAAAAAAAATCTTATTGATATGCAACAGTAAATAAAGCAGTTGAACAAATCTGTATAAGCCTTTAGTGTCAGTGATTTTTTTAATCAGTTAAAAGAAAATATTACCAAAGATGGGAACTTCTGAAACGTCTCAACTGTCAGCTTCAAGGCACTTTGCTTTTCTGATTGTGGTTAAACAATTGCTACAGAACCACATGACCATGAATAATAACAAACCAAGATGACCTTTCACAAGGTTTTACAAGCGAGAATCACATGTATCAGTTCCTCATACGGACTCCAGCGCAATGCAATTCTGTCTCATGACCCGTGACTGTAAATGTCTGACTTAGCTGCAAGTCAGCTTTAAGATTTTAGTCCAAAACACTTGACAATCAAATATCAAGTTCCATCTTGAATAATTTGGCAGCAAATGGAAAAAAAAAAAAATGAAAAAAGGTGCAGTATGAATAAAAGCCTGTCCAAAAGGGAAAAAACCCCCAACCCTAAACAAAACAACAACATAGCTTCCTAACACACCACAATCTGTGCAGACTTCCCATCTCTGGGTTTTGTGTTATCATGCTGTGAGTGATTCCAGTGCATTTCTTCTTTCTAAATCAATTGTTTCGATTTTTAAGATAATTTAAAAAATAATAATAATTAAAAAGCAGAATTGAACAACACTCCTACTTTTCCTGGAGATTAAAAGAAAAAAAGAAAAAAATCATTTTTCCACAGGTATTACTCACACAGTCCGCTGACTTAAAAGTGAAGCAGAACTAATACTAGGACTGAAAAACTGAGTGTTTTCTTAACATTATGTACCTTTAACAGAAATGAGTTATTTGTTAATTAGGGACAAATGTTAAAATGTAGCATTTTCTGTTTTCTGGAAGCTTAAAATCATTTTCAGTTTCTATATCCAGATGAGGTTTAGGCAAAGTTTAGTGTCACGTGGCTCATTCTCCACCAATTTTTCCATCCTTCGAGATCCTCGGATAGTAAAAAGTAAACTTTTCTTTATTTCACTATTAAATGTCTGTGCCATCACATCCGACCTAAGAGAGGAAATGAGATAAAATAACCGAGGACCGACCCCGTGATGACCCCGAGGAATATCCAGGTGTTATAGGACATGACGCACAGCATCAGCATGTAGGCCAGAGACACCTGCAGCATGTGGAGGACCGTCTGTATGATGTGCAACAACCAGCTGATGAAAAGAAGAGGGAGAGGGTTATTTACAAATAAACTAATAAGTCAAATACATCGTTCAGGTCTCGACATTCAGTCTGCCAATATGTGATGGTCTCAGTTTGCCACACACTTTTGTTTAATACCGCCCAAAAGATAATAATAGTTGCAATCTAGGATACACCAACAAAAAAAGGGTGTCATGCTATGGAGGTTACCACCATGCCACAACCATACAGTTCAAATAGATGCATTTCTGCATTTTATTCAGTGATTTGCATTTCACAGTACGATCCATGATAAAAAAAAAAAGTTACTAGAAATGACTTGCTTACCTGTTCCTGGTACTTTGAGGTGTAACGACTGATGCTATAGGGGTCAGTGAGGATTCAGAGGGGCTGCTGTCCAGGACAGAGATGCTGTCGCAGTGGGAAGATGGGGCGTCGTATGGAGACTGAGGCTGGGTCAGCTTGGAGGGATTCCCCAGCCACAATCTCCACACTTTAAGCACCTCGTAAAAGACAGTCAGAAGCAAGACCACCAGCACTGTCACCACCATCCCTGTAGGTACAAAAATACAAAATGTTAACTCACAAAAAAGTCACTATTAAAAAGTACGTTTATGCAATATGATGATGATGAAGTGAAATTTATTTCGGTCAACAACAACAACACAGATGATCATTTTACATAAAAGTACTCAATCCTACAGTAAGCGACAATGGAATAGGCTGAAGGCTTGTGGCTTATAATTATCCTGTCCTTTACCCCATAGGAATAATCAAATCCTTAACCAAGAAAATAAATAGCATTGATAAATAAGTTATATAACAGTTTGAAAAGAAATCAATGATAAATCAAGAAATTAAATCAACACGAAGTTATTCATCAAACCAAATTTCCGTAACCTTGAATGATGCAAATTTTTAAATTCTTCCTGAAAAATGACAAAGAAAAACACATCTTCAGTTCATCATTAAGTCCATTCCATAATTTCACTGCCAAAACTGACACACATCTATACTTAACATTGGTTCTCACTTTAGGTATTTCAAACTTATAAGACCCCCTCAAATCATATTTTCCATCTCTTAGTTGAAACATACTTAAAACACAAATTAGAACATTTTTCATCACTCGATATATCATTTCTAAAGTTTTAGAATGAATTTTAACATAGATGATCCTACAAAACACTGGTTGGTGGACTCCCTATATCCAACTTTATTATTCTAATAGCTCTTTTTTTGCAATTTAAAAATTGAATCCAAATATGTTGTGTATGTGTTCCCCCAAATTTCTGCACAATAGGTCATATAAGGCAAACAAAGGGAAGTATACAATAAATAAACGTATTATAAACGTAAATAAGTATTTGAATTGCACCACACAATTTTTAAATCCAGATGAACTGGTTCTAAGGCTTTTTCGCAAGACTTTAATACTCTGCAGCTTACCTGCAGGGCTGTGCACATCCCAGAAGTCAAACAGCAGCGTCACACTGCTCGAAACCCCAAAAGTCATCTAAAGAAAAATGAGAAGGGTATTAGGAGTTGTTCACTGGTAAAGTGGAGTTTAGGGCCAACATTTATACTGAATGCAGTGTTGTCCAATGTTCCAAGAACAGTCCGTACAATAGTACTCAAAATATTTCTGATTACAGAGTGAAAAACAAAGAATTTAATTTATACTACTTTGTACAAATATGCTGTATATACACACACACACACACACACACACACACACACATGATTTTGTCCAACAATTAGAGGACATACTGTCCCACAAAGGCACACTTTGTTCAGCCTTGCTGCTGTGGATATGGGCTGACAGAGGAATGCACAGTCTGTGGCTCTTGCTTGCTCAGCAGCACAGCTCTATCCCTGATAATTCACCACCTGTCTTGGCATAACTGCCTCTCACCAGCTGCAAACTAGCAGATCTCAGTTAGGCATCAGCCTAGCCGAGAGCTGCTAGTTATAAAGTCTGGAAATGATAAAGTTCCAAATTTAACAGAGCTACACTGGCTTCCAGTGTCATACACCCCATCTTAATATATAGATATATACCACCAAAAAGAAAAATTCTCGCCTTAGATGGTCTTGGATCATTGTCTACCACTTTATCTCAGGGCACTCTGAAATCCTCCAATGACAAACTGTTAAGACATACGATATTTCTCTCAAAAAAATAAATAAATAAATAAATCTGGGAGCAGCTTCGGCCCCTCATGCCCCCAAACCACCGTTTGGCTTCTTTCTCCGTGACTCCATATCTCTCTCTTTCTGCCTCTCTCCCTCTTATTGCTTCATCTTCCTCATAAATGTTTTTATGAATTTAGATTATCAAGCAAAGCAGTGAATGGAGTACCTCACTCAACTTTAGGAAAGCCTTCAACTATTGAGAGGAAGACCACGAAAGCCTTTCTAAATATGGTCACACTGAAGTGCACAGCATAGCTGTACATTAGTTGCATGTAGAATTACACAAAGCTTTGTAGTTCGTCATCTACATATTGTCGTTGTGTGTCACTGATCGTTTAAAGCATTTTTAAAAGAAAAAAAGTCTACTGCAGTTATTATTTGTGCCTTCTTTCTTTGTGAACAGTCTCCCTTTTCTGCCTAAGCTAACCAATGAACAATCAACCCACATACAGCTTTTTGGAGGACTGCACACAAGTACATTTTCATATCCTCTGCATATTCGAAGACCTACACAAACAGATACCAATGTGGGACCATAAACACTTCACAATGTCATTACGAAAGCGGCACCATTGTCAATGGGAAACTACCTGAAAGGTTCACTAAAAGGTGGAAAACAAGAACCGATCTGAGCCATCCACTGGAGCCAGTTTTCCCAGTTTTAGACTTTGCTGGTGATCTTGCGTAAAGTATAACCAACTGTAATAGAAAACTGATGCCCAACAGAAAACCGCGCATTTAAGCCTAAAGCCATGTGTGATGATGCAATTTCTGATATGTAAAGTAAATGGGGACAGTTAACTATGCAGATGAGTCTGGTTATCTTGGAACTCGTCCCAGCAAAGACAATGCAGTACAAAAGACTGTCGGAGCAAGGATTATCTGCTTTATCCGGAGGCCAAATCAATAAGCTTAAGAACAAAGGTCCATCTGTCCAACAGTAACCAGAGTTGTTTTGTTTGGTATTGTGGCCACTGGCTGTGACGTAAAAACAATCGATGCCTTAATCCTCCTTATTTCCTGGACTTCTAAAATTTCAACTATACAGTCAGGCCAGATGACCAAGTTCAGAAGTGCAGTGCTGATAATCAAACATCCTCAAAGTTCTTCCCGAAACAACTTGGTGGACGAATGTGATGACCCCTTGTTAGAATATGGACCTAACAAGGGAGAAAGCACAATATGAAGTACAAGACAAAGCATAGAGGGAAGGATTTTATTTTCTACTTTTTCCTCTTCTCTTTCCTGGTGGCAATAATGGTTTCCCCTCCTTGAGCCTTGTTCTGCTGATGGTCCCTTCTTGTTACAAAGGAGGCTTGTCCTCCCCACCATCCCCAAGCACTTGCTCATCAGGGTTCCAGCTCACAAAAATTGTCGTTAAAATAAAAGCTCTTTGAGATGACCCTTGTTGTGAAGTGGCAATGTATAACTAAGACTGACTAGATGATGAACCCTAATTAATTCCATCATGTACATTCCTGTCTAGTTGTGACATTCGCAAAAAAAAAGAAAAAAAAGAAAAAAGAAAGCACGGCAGGGATCCTGGAGGTCAGATATTTGGGCAATCACATCATGTAATGGGGCCATTATGCTTACTGTTCCATTCGACAAAAGTCATGTCATATCCTCTGGTGCCGGTCGTTCACCTCTCGATTAAGTGACTAATGTGACAGGTACAATGGAGGAGGCCTAAGAAAAGAACCAAGTTGACTCTTCTTACAACTACTGTGCTATAGAAAACCAAGTCAAAGGATAATCCTATGTTGGCTCTTAATCTACAAAACATTTTACTCAACATGGTAGTGGTCTATCACAACAACTAGAACCAGCAGAGTTCCACCCATCCATCACTGACACCCTAGTCAGGCTGTCAAATACCCTACTGAACTGAAGTAACCTCACTCCACACCGAAAGGTCTCAAACACCCACAAGGTTCAAGCTAACCCAAGCACCACTTAACTTCCTATCCAGGTTTTCCTTCCTTTATGTTTTATCAAATTAAGGACTTTTGGAGGTAAAACGCAGTTCCACAGAGAAACAGTGTATAATCAGAGCCAAAACTGAACTATGAAGCCATCTGTACATGAATAATAACTCAAAATTATTTAGTTTGGGTTTTAACTTCAGAATTCACCTTCATTCTGAAGCCCTAACCACACGTGGTTTGTTTAAAACTGGTCTGATCAGCTACCCGACTGCTCCCCTTGTCATCTTTTTAGTGAGCTCACCTTAAGCTCAAATCTTAGTAATTATGGTACTGAGTGAACTGTACTCCGTTTAAATAATGAACTAACCTACAAAAGCAGCATCCAATTTGTGATAAATGTAGTTATTATTTTAAAGGCAAAAAAAGAAGAGCTAGAAAGAGCTGGCTTTGCTGCACGGTGAGAAACATTAAATTTATGTCTTTATAACTTCTTTTAATGTGAAACGGATACATGGTGGCCAAAGTTTCCATTTAAAATGGCACAGGACAGCAGAGGTGATAAAAAAGTCGAAGTATTTGACACAATGAAAGAACGAGGGGAAAAATCAAATACAGACAGCTTGAGTCAACAATCCAACTGGGGGCTAGACTCGGAAAGCACTGTGAGCTTATCTTTCAAATACACTCTGGAAAAACCAGGTGTTTGTTTTCAAGGTGACAGTTGGGACTGAAAATGGTGTAATTAGTGCTGCTACTACAAGCACTCAAAATGACTGTATTCTGCACTTTTACACGAATACAGAACAATTTCCGAGTCTCAAAATGTGCTTTCACTATTTAGGTTTAACCGATAACTTTCATTTAAAAGGTTATTTAGGGTAAAAATATCACAACTGCAATAATACTACTCGTTTTAGTGGACCTATAGTTAACAAAAGTCACTCGGGTTTTATTGGCATAAATGCACTAAAGACCCTAAAGCAATGATTGAGCTTATTTTAAATTCCAAGTGCATAAAGCAGCAGCACCTACATATGAATCTGCAACTTGCATACCTAAACTGATCTGACCCGAATTTATTTATTCTCAGAAATCGACACTTTAAAAAGAAAACAGCACAGGTGACATAATGTCCAGCTTTGGATGACACTGACAGCAAGGCATAAAGTTAATCATATGGTTACATAACACTGACGCTGATGTTTTAGTGTTTTTGTAGTAGACTTTTAAAAAAAGGGGTCTCAGTAAGCGTCCCTTCTCATTAGCTTAACTATAAACATGATTCAAAGTAAAGTTAACACATCTTAGTTTTTAAAAGATGAGTTATCTCCCAGACTTACGCCAGGTCAGACGGTAGTAGTTTGTAGTAGTAGTTTCACAGCAGATTATTTCATATTTTTTTAATGGCTTTATTAGATGCAGTGTGTCAGAAACCAGTAAGTACTGCTTACACCGACTCCCTGGGTTCCCCGAAGTGTGCATGACGTGTTTTCCTCACACTAAGTGAGTCAGTGCCACACATTAACCAGCAAAGAAACGTCTCAAATGCAAAACAGCTTATTAAAGTAGCACATATGGCGTATGCTAGACCGCTGAGTGACAAAACAAACACACACAAAGAGAACTCACTCGCATCCTGACGAGCTTGCCGCGCTAACGTTGACACCACACTTTCAGCGGTTATTGAGCGCAGCTTCCATCACAGATGAGTCTCGGTCCGGACATTCAAGCACGAGCCATTTCCACATAATCGGCGTGCATTTCTCAAATATGCCTCAACAGAAACAGCCAGTGTCCCACCTACTCAGCCCAAAGACGCTATGTATGTAGCCTGTGGTACCACGTGACTTCACCTAACAAACCACGGTTGACGGTTAATGTAGTTTTTCAACATGTAGGGAGAAGGCAAACATCCTGAGTGCGACTGCGCAGCCGAAATAGAGAGTCCCGGATAAACAACCGTTACCCTTCAGATTAAAGAGGGCGGCTACAACCCCCAAATATTTGAGTTGAAAAACGAGTGAAATAAGACCGCTAACTGAGCAGAAATCGAAGCTTTTAAGGCGTTTAATGAATATGTATTATGCAGAACCAATGACTGTAGAACGCTGTGGTCATGTGACAGACGGAAGCCGCTCACACAATTCTTGGAGCTGTATCAAGGACACATCTAAAACCTGCAGAACATCGGCACTCGAGGCCTGGAGTTGCCCACCCCTGCTCTAGACCATCACTCTCATACACTTCTCTACCATTCCTGACTTCCTCATGCAGTCCCACACTTCCTCTCTTGGCACCCGTCATAGCCTTCCTCTAGAATCCACCAAGAGAGTGCATCACATCTGCAGTTCTTTTCCTCAGCATGACCCCGTACTGTTGATGTATACATGTTTGTCTGGAACAGTTCTCTCTTGCAGGGACCACCTGTGGTGGACGTTTCTGTCATTTCAATGTTTATCTATTATTTATTTACTTTAGTATGGATGGCAGTAGGGGAGGTCTTTAATAGTAGCCAAAGCTGTTAAATCATGTGAAAACACTATTAAAATGGAGATATTTATGCCCTTGTTCACATTTTTCAAAATTATTCAGTTGACCAGATTGCAGTCTTTGCCGACCGTTTCTGGCCCCACACCTTATGTTTTGAAACCCCTTCCATGGTCTGGCCATGGTTCAGGTGTAATAGTAAACAGTCTATTTTTTATACATTTTTTTATACAGCAGAAAACTTTGTTTTTTCACAGAAATGTGGGTGGATGTACCGGTAGTGCCTTGCTTCCCCTTACCCCCTTACTTTATTGTCGTTCTATGCAGTACAGCTTTGATTCTGCACTGTAAGCTGAAACTGTACATGTAATGGTTGAGGTGCAACTATATCCACACTGCACCTGTAAACAGCTCATATAGTAGAAAAATACAAAACTGGACACCACTCATCAATATATGAGGGGAGGGGGGTGGGATGAAAAGATAACATAACGAGGGGTTTCATAAAGCTATAGTACCTTTTGGTGAAGAGGATTTGAACAGAATGAAGGCTGGTAAAGGCAGCATGAAATGGCTTCAGAAAAGGAATTGCACAAGTTTTTTTCTCCTAAAACAAAGAGTTTAAAACAAAGTTCAGCAGGTCTACAAAGTCCAGTGTCTTACTGTTTTTGAAAGCTACATCTGTGTACATCAAGTGCACTTTGCACAGTCCCGCCAGACACAAAGCAGGAGGAGCATGTCCTGATGTCCTCATAGAGAAGAAGAAGGTAGTCCACCGCAGGCTCATGTAAATGTTGAAGGGTATCCAGATTGTTTAAGGCATGCTTTCACAATAATGCAGAGCCACAAGATTTCTGTTATCAGAAACTCATGCTGTGATTTGAAGCGGAGTGGCAAGATAAGACGAAAACACACAAAGAGTCACACAAACATTCAGTGCAGATGTTGTGCTTCAGATTTTCAGGGACATTAGGCATTACTATGCCTGGAGGATGTGGATTAAAGTTTTTGTCATCAATATATGACAAAACATGACAAATGTATGCAACTACGTGGAACTGTAGCACTGAAGTCTATTTTGCTGTTATGAATAAAATGAGAAAAGAGTTTTTATACGTGCAAAACAAAAGGTTTGGTGAACAAATATCTATACATACAACAGAAAATAGCAGACATTTGTGCAATGCTAAGATCATATTATGGTACAACAACATAAAAT